TGTGCGTCCAAATTATACGTTTACTAGATTTTGACCCACGCCAAGCGTGAGATTAAATATTAAAATATATTTTTTAAATCGATCTTAATATTTAGATGTGTATTCTAAATATGTGCGTCCGAATTACACATTTATATTGCGAATCTACACCGAATGGCAATTCTATATATATGTGGAATCCGAAAAATCCTATGATTTTGGCAAACCTTAGGCAGACTTGTTGTAATGTCTGTCAAATTAACAAAGATTACTTATAATGTCTGTCAACATAATGTTATATATAGAGATTTTGAGCAATACCGATAAAAAAGACTTAGATTTCATTGTATAAGTTAGCATTTTCTCGATGAAGATCATCGAACTGTTTCATACTTAAGGGCATGAATAGAATAAATCGCAGTCAACCTAGTGAATGAGACATACTTATAATTACACTATTAATCAACCAACCAAAAACTCATATATTTTGTAGTTCTTACTCCAATCAAAACTTTACAAATATAATAATATCAGAAATTGGTTTTCTATGTATATTACGAAGAAAAACGTATTATTTTTTACATTTTGGTTTTAGTTTATTGCCCTTGATTTGTCATGTATACTTTTTTATGTATATTGCCCTTGTAGTATAGTTAATAAAAAAAAGTCGTGTATACTTTTTATGTTTTATAATCGAGTTTGCTATCTCGAAACTGAAAGTGTATGTTTGAATGAGTTTTAGAATTCAATATGAGTCGATATAGTTGTTCAATCTACGGAGTTGAGAAGCGGATGATAAATTATCTGAAATATGAAGAAAGCAATTTCGGGTTGTAGTAGTGACTTGTACCAGTCGTGAAGTACTACAGGAGGTTGTACGAGCGGACTAGCTGAGCTTAAGGCCTCGTGGGCTTGAAGAGTCGGCTGGACCAAGCTAGGATGGACGTGACTTGATGCTCTAGGTGAGCTGGAGGCGTTCCTTGGAGAGGATCAAAGAGCATAAAGATTTTCTTATATCTTGGCTAAGATTAAGTAAAGGAGGATATTCTACAAAGATGTGATATCTTCCAAACTTGAAGACCAATGTTAGGGTTAGCCGTCGGTTCCTATTGTGTATAAATAGGAGTGTAAAAACGTGGAGAGACGTTTAACACAATTAGATCATATGTCCTAGCAAAGAGGATTGGAGATTGTCTAGTAAAAAGAGATCTTGATTAAACGGGCTAAGGGGTAGTGATAGGTTCACAAGATCATGTGTGATTTGCGAACACGTTAGGCTAGGAATGAAGTTGATAAGTGGAACTTGTAAGTGTACTTATCGTTTGATCTAGTAAAAATGTTTTGGAAAAAAAACCCCTTGTGTACATTGTGTTCGTTTCCTGTACTAGTATCTGTAGTACTCTATGTTACAGCAGCTCTTGCACTTACAATTGGAATCAGAGCGGGCATTTGTCCGTATTATTTACAGGTGAGATTTTGTGGAGAGAGTTGAGAGCTGCAAGGTATTAATCACGTGTTCTACGATGATGTTGAAGACAAGACAAGAGACTAAAGAAGATGAGGATTTGAGAAACTTTGTGGCGCCTCTAGGTATCACTGAATTTGGTGAAGGAGAAGAAGTATCTGAATCCGAATCTGATGAAGAACATGAAGATGATCTTGCTGAGAGTTACAAGGAGGTACGGGAGACAATTATCAGGCTTGTACAAGAGAACCTAGCACTGATTAAGGAGAAGCAACGACTTGAAACATTGGCTGAATCTTTGCAGACTGAGCTGCAGGCTGAACGAAAACTCAGTCAGGAGAGTGTACTGTTGATGAAGGAGAAACTCAGTCTGGCTGTCAAGGCAAGTAATTTGGAGAATGAATTGCATGTTGAGAAGGGAATATCTACTCAACTTCAGTCGCAACGTGAAATTGGACAAGATCCTGTCTTATGGGAGGACTGAAAACATCCACAGAGGTTTGGGATACACTGGAAAAAATGGTACAGAGGCCAAAAACATCAAGTTCATGTCTGCTGGTGTGTCTTCACACCATTTTCACAGAAATAAAAGTAATGCAGCACGCAGAACTGAAGTTGATACATCACAAAGAACAGGATGTTACTTTTGTGGAAATCATGAACACATAAGAGCCTTCGGTTACAAGTATTGGGAGAGGATTAAAAGGCTCATATATGAAAGAAAATTCACATGGAATAGATCCCGTAATCAGATTTGGGTGAAGAAAGGTGACCTGCAATCGACTGTTACAAGATGTACTTCAGGCAGTACTACATGACTTGGGTCACAATGCAACATGGATGTTCTTTCAAGTGAATTAGAGGATGATGAATCTTGTTACTTCAATAGTGGGTGCTCATGTCACATGACGGGAACAGAGACTCGAGGAGTTAAGTTTTTATCTGCAAGTTTCTCTCAATCAGCATAACGCAACACTGAGAGTAGTAAAGTACAGAAGAGTGGC